TAAGGTATTATTTTGTTTTATATAAAATAGGGACCAAATGCCATACCCCCGCGGGGTGTCATAGCAATAAGATTTTTAATGGAAATATATTGTTGTGACTTGCATTTAAATAAATAAATAAATAGGTAAGGTGGCAGTACTTCTTTGAATGGGTTCACTTCGACATCACCATTACGATATTTTTCCGCAGAAAGATTAGGGTGGCAATGTGCGGAGACGATAGTGTATGATATTGTGACCAAATTACGTCGCGTTTGAACGATATTGAAGGAATTTTCGGTAACGAAATTGTTTTTATTTTTTTAATGATATCAAGTGACGGGACGAACGAGTCGTGCGCCTGGTGATAAGCGACACGCCTGTCCATAGCAGTTGCAATGCCATTCAAGTTTTAAATCGCAAAGATCTTATGGGTACTGTCACTGTGCCCGTCACCCTGAGACATAAGTTGACAAGTCCCATGTGCCTATAGTTTCACCAGCACCCTTACCCTTAAAAACGAGCACAGTAATGCTCAGATTATCGATTGGCGGTAGAAACACAAGGAGCTCTACTAATCTTGAAATTGTACATAGCATAATGGACTTTATATAAATTGTGTAACTTACAAACTAGTTACGAAATCCCGAGACTGCGTGAGAATTTTCCGGAAGACGCGCGACCGTTCTTTGGCTCATATCTAGTTTGTACCTTATACAGTTAACATAAAGTTAATTTTGGTATGATTGCAATATTCGACAAACCTTCGCCTCCTCCACTCTTATCAGTCTCTTTACACATGCCCGTTTATTCTTGTTATTATTGACCAGGCCATTTTCAAAGTCATTCCCAAACTGATCGAGATATGTACGCCGAAGTCTATCTCTCCCCACGCCTCCATTCACATACGCTCTATAAATTTGTACTGTCAAACTACCAACATTCATTCTTTCTAAAAGAATGAATGAAAGAAAAACGTTTATTCATTAAATTAAGTCACTAAGAGCGATTACACACGACGACTTTTAGTAGCGAAGCAAATACGATGCAGTAGCGATTAGTCTTTCTTTACAAACGCGCGCGATTTTAAGCAGTGACGCAAACGCGCGATTGCATCGCTACGCTTGGGATTTATAGGCGATTGCATCGATGCAATCGCTTGTTTGCTAAAATTCGCCGTGTGTAACCACTCTGACACTAAATCTAATTCTTAAAACTAAAAGAACAAGTGACGGAGTAATTTTAGGTTAATAGGTAAGTAAGTGTTACGTAGTGGCGCAAAAGAAGAAAAGGATTCGCCTCAGCAACATATCTGTCTGTGGCGAGACAGACGCTGAATTTCAGTCGTTCCTGTGAGAAAATGGGACATGATGTGTGTATCCTCTGTTGTATGTATGTGTGCGGTACATGTATATTATTATTGTTAGGGCGCGTTCACATTAGCCGCTGTTAGAAGCGGCGGCCGCGCTGCATCCGCGCGACTATAGCGTTGCTGAAGTGCGACCAAATTTTTAGTGTTAATTTATTTTTCGACTCAGTTAAAGAATATCAGAACGTATATAAACTTTACGGGTGTACTAGATGGTGTAATAGAGTGGAAAACTTTAAGTGTCTTGGACATTTTGTAACCTCAGGCCTGGAAGACGATGCTGACACACAACTCTCTAATTGTTCAGCATTCTGTCTTTAAAACCACACTGTGTTTCATAGAATAAGGTTAATTAAGGTTATACACGTATTTTATACATGTTTATCTCTCGCACTATCGCTAGATTATTGGAGTTGTGTGATAAAGTTTTGCTGGTGTAGTGTATCTATGTATATATTTTGTGGCTTAGTTTGTTTGAAAATGACTAGTTTATGCCCGCAATTTCATACGCGTGCAATTAGAGAAATCTCTTTTGTCTGCATGTGGAAAATCCATTTAGGTAGTCTGTTCCCTTTGTAGAGGTAGTTTAAAAACAAAACGTATTTGTCCAATATATAATAAACGTTTGCCTGGTGTTAAGTGACACGCCTGTCCATGGCATTTGCAGACGTGAGTTGACAAGTTCCATGTGCCTGTAATTACACCAGCACCTTTACCCTTCCAAACGCACTAAAGCTTGGCGGCTGAAATAGGCAAGATGGCAATAACTGTACTTTCCTGGGAGAGCTCTTTCACAAGAAACTATACTGCTCCTAAAACTACTAACTAACGTCGACAATCTAGCGGGCTGCAATTGCTATAGTAGATAGGAATTAGATAAGCCCGGGTAAAAGTGTCTCGCTGTCTATACGACACAGTTTGTAGATTTATAATAAATAATATGAAAATTATTTTATACACTCAGAAAAAAAAATCGCGGGGTGAGAGTCCACCGAGGTATTTCGTTTCTATAACAATTGTTGTAATGTCATTGAACTACGAAGTGTAAATAATTTTGTAGTTCAACGTAATAAAAACTTTGTTTTGGGAAATAATTTTTAACCGACTTCAAAAAGGAGGAATTTCTGAATTCTGCCGTTTTTTTTTGTATGAATGTTACGCGATAACTCCGACGTGAACCGATTTTGATGATTCTTTATTTGTTGGAAAAAGGGTACGTCAGGGGTGGTCCTATTTAAATTTAAAGAAAATATTCCACCTCTAAGGGTGGCAAATTAGGAATGAATCCAGTTTATTGAATTCCACACATTTTTGTTAACCGTTTTTAAAAACTTTGGTATTTGAGTGTAATTTCAATAAAAGTCAAATGTTATGGTAATCTAGAACTGATCTGTTGATGGAAATAGTAGACAGATGAGAGGAGAAGTGGAATTTTATTTCCAGTTATACTACTAATAGAAACGGTTGAGTGGGGACTCAACCGTTTCTAATAAGTACTGTCGAGAATAAAACTAGATCAATGAAAAGTGAAATTATTTGTTTAAAAACATGGCATTTATTACTTGCGAAGGGCGCCTTCAAATTAGACGCTGATAGAAGCACTGCAGTGGCGCGTCTGCGTCGCGTCCGTGGCGTGGCAGCCGTGCCACTGCAAAATTTTATAACATAGTTATTTTTCCTGAGTGTAAAATTATCAATATATTATCGAAAAATTACTGACACTTATTGATAAGGGCCTGCATTAGGGCTACATAATCAATTTTACTTATGTACTCAGAGCATATGAAAATTAATACATTTATTTCGATAAAACAGTACCTCGTTGCAATCTCACATAATTCAAGGTAATTTTATGAACCAACAAATGCGTATTTGAAAAACATTCTCAAACTTTTAGTAGCATTAAGCCAAGCGTTCATCCAGGGAAGTACGGCCACCTTACCTATTTCTGCCGCCAAGCAGTGATGTAAACATTACTGCGTTCCGGTTTTGAAGGGTAAGTTTGCTGGTGAAATTACAGGCACATGGGACTTTTCAACTTATGTCTCAGGGCGATGGGCGCAGAGGCAGTGCACCCCATATTTTTGCGATTTAAAGCTCTGAGTGGCACTGCAACTGTCATGGACAGGCGTGTCGTTTACTATCAGGCGCACGACTCGTTCGTCCCGTCACTTAGAATTATAAAAATACCTTGTAGCAATTTCCAGTGGTACCATTTTCACAGAACTTTCAACGTCTTTTCCCTTTTATTGGTAGTTTTGATTTTAAGTGAAATTGAAATACATAATGCATACATTTAAAAAATTAAATCAATAATCAAAAAGTATGCATACCAAGTCTCTGTTGGTATTGTTATCGTTGTAGCGTTGGTCCGTAAATTGAGTGAGGTACATAATATGTAAAAAAAGTTATTTGTATCGATGAGTAGAATTATATCACACTGAGATACGTAAAAACGTATGAATATATCAAAAGTTGTTGATACATTTATCAGAAGGAAATGTTATATATTAAAATTATATTGGAAATTAATTGCTTGCAGCCGCCAGAACAATCTAGGTCGGTACACGTATACAATGAAAATAATTAAGAGTCACTATATACATTGTAACACACGAAGAAAATAATAATGTATGTGTTTGCTAGTTAAAATACTAAGAAAGAAATATGTTCACTAATAGAACCGCAAATTGCCCTACTTTTTATTATTAACTCTCTCGGAGATTTTAACCGATGCGCCGCTTTTTTAATAAGGCTGTTTATATTTAAAAAAACCTATTGGTAGTTTGCCAAGTTATTTTTAATCAGCCCACCTGATGAAACTTGACTACCACAACTTATGGATAGTCACGATGATGCGAACAGTGATAATCTCAGTACAGAGTACTAAAAAAACGGACCTCAAAAGCACGTGGAATTACGTCTATTTGCTAAGTTTTATTGAAATATTCCCTAGTTCGCCACTATACAGGACTTGACACTGGAGATAATAAAAATCGGTTCAAACTACTCAAAAGTATATTGCGAGAAAGCGCCTTGAATTGGAGAAATAGCAAAATGAACCATTCAAATAATTGCTCCTTTAGTAAAATTTAGACGCTATTTATAAAAATGAATCTTCATGCGTGAACAGCCACCCTTAAGGGTGGATGATTTTCTTCAAAATGAAATGGGACCACTATGGAAGTATCCCCTTTCCAACAAAAAAAAAATCATGAAAACCGGTTCACGAATACCGAAGTTATCGCATAACATACATAAAAAAAACACAGTCGAATTGAGAACCTCCTCCTTTTTTGAAGTCGGTTAAAATCCGACTTCAAGTCATTCGTCCGTTATTTTGCCACCCTTAGAGGTGCAATATTTTCTTAAAATTGAAGTGGGACCATTACTGAGGTACCCTCTTTCAAAAATATCAAAATCGGTTCACAAATGAGTTATGGCGTAACATACATACAAAAAAAACACACTCAAATTGAGGCACTCCTCCTTTTTTCTTTTTTTAAAGTCGGTTAATAATAAAACAATAATAAAACATGCGCCGTGGAGGTACAGATAATGGCACCCACCTGGGTGAACTTTTGTACACATATCCCTACCGCCAATAAAAGAAATAGATGCCATTTAATTATTTATTTAATCATAAAACACATGCAAGCATATGAAAGTAACCGACTGTGTGTACTTATTAATCATGTAATTGATACCATAAGTGTATAAAGCATATTACAATGCACCTGCGTCTTTTAAAAACTTTTCAAAAATTTCAAATCTGCAATATAATGCCTGATTTGGATCTGCCCAGTCTTTCTCTGTCTTGTCGAACCAAAAGTACTTTCCCTTCACTGATTGATCCACATCCAGAGCTAAGTGAGCAGGAGCTTTTCCTGATTCTTCGAGAGTCAACATTCCGACATGCTTTGTCATGTCTGTTTGCACAAATCCAGGATGCAAGGAATTAATAGAAATCCCGCGACCAACTTGTTTCTGCTGTATTCTAGTCAATGCACACATAGAAATCTTTGAGACTATATATGCAAGCATTGACATTTGAACAAAATCTTCACGTTTTAAATTTCTATTTTTGACCGCATCTAAAAACCAATCCACGAAAGCATCTATATCTTCTAACTTTAAATCTTCTGCCGTTAAACGATTGATCCAATATGAATTCCGAAGATTCGAAATATGCCCACAATCACTAGATATATTTATCACTCTGGCATTATCTTTCAGAACAGGGAATAGGTTTTCTTGAATGATAAGTAAACTTCTGTAGTTAATGTCAATTACTCGTTTAGAGTCTTCATAAGTAGAATTGTAAAGATCTTGGACTATGACTCCTGCGTTGTTGATAAGAATATCTAAACCTCCATGCTTGTCTTTTAGATACTTAGCCAATGTCTTTACACTGTCTCTGTCTGTAACTTCTAATTGATGGAACAGTGGATTAAGACCTTCTTTCTTTAGTTCTTCTACAGCTGCTTTACCTCTTGCTACATCTCTTGCAGTCAAGTAGACGTTCCCCACTCCTCTTTTGCACAATTCTTTTACTATAGCATATCCTATTCCTTTATTGGAACCAGTAACCACAGCTACTTTATCAGACATGTTTTCGCGTTACCAGGTAATGTACACTGAACATTGATTTGTGGTGTGAGATTCATATACGCTTTGGAAAAGATTATGTAATCTTTGAGTTTCTGATTAGATAGTGGGTGTTAAAAAAAATTGTTGATTCATACAATCTATTGATTTATTTATCGCTTGAGATATATATTTGGTGACACCATTGACATTACTTTTGTTTCCAACCTGTTTGTTATGTAACTGTAACAAAATTTCAAGTGCAACACGTTTCTTTTGGTAGATCTCGTAAATTCAAAACAAAAACAAAATTTCTCTTCTCTTCTTCTTCTTCTTTTAAATGTTATGGCTCCATTGAAATAATCAATGATTTTGCCAATGTCAAGTAAAAGTAACTATGTACAGTAGTTTAATATTATTGTAAAAATTATACAAAAAAATGGCGATTTCGCCAATGTCCTGTGAGAATGAGAATATGCAATTTCTCTTCTCTCCTTGGTAATTTTCACCTTCGATTTTCACCATTCATGTACAAAATGTCACTTTGACATTGTAGTTTAGAAATAATTAAGTAAATTATTTGAAACCCATAAAGTGTTGGTGTAATCCATTGACCCAAAGTGTAATCTATATAATGTATTTAAACCCTTGACGTATTTATTACTTGTTGGTGAACGATTTTTCTACAAAATGAATACCGTGAATGGGTGGGTATCCTTTAGTTTGACATATTTTTGAAAACACCAACCCTCGCTAATTTTTCTGGTATGGTAACGCAAAATACTAGTGCTGCAGACCATTAAATTCGATTTTACTTTTGTAGTCGAGCTTTTTGTAAATTATAGCTGTTCTTTACTATATCCAGGCCGAACGCCGCCAATTAGTTTGCCAAGAGAAAAATAAAAAAAACATACGTGACGTCGAGTTGGGCGTTCAAATATTATAATATAATTAAATAATTTTGGAGATAGACATAATCAAAAGGAACCCCTCCACAAATTTTCAGTTTTAGGACGCCCAAGGTTTTCGAGAAAATAATTTTTGAATCTGGAAAATTAAAGCAAAAAAACGCATTTGACAACTAACTAATGCAAAAATTATGTCAAAAAAGCACGCTCACGCAATTTAATGTCTTGCGTTTCGACATTCCACTGTATTATATCATGTGTTGTTTAAATTTTGAAAGTATATTATGTTTTATTGGTTTTTGCTTTTTTAATAGCATTTACATTATATTTAAAATATTATTTCAAGAAGGTTACTTTGAAATAGCAATGGTAATTCAATAACAATTTCGTAATTTCAACAATAAAACGCAACGTCATTTATCGCGTTTGTTTTTTTCTTAATTCTCTTGGCTTTTCACTGTAAGCGTTTTAGCCATTTACAGAGTGTTTTTACTGCGTATTTAAGTTGTTGTTCGTTGTGTATAAAGATTGTTAGGTTTTTTAAATTACAATCGCGAAAGTCCCTCTGGGTAGAAACGGATTGGATTATTTAGGTTAAATTATTTTTTTTTTTATACAAACGCGGAAGTACCTCTGGGCAGAAACGACTTGGATTATTTAGGTTAAGTCACGTTTTTTTTATACAAACGCGGAAGTCCCTGTGGGCAGAAACGAGTTGGATTATTTAGGTTAAGTTTGGTTTTTTTATACAAACGCGAAAGTCCCTCTGGGCAGAAACCAATTGGATTATTTAGGTTAAGTCTGGTTTTTTTTACAAACGCGGAAGTCCCTCTGGCACAAAACGAATGGGATTATTTAGGTTAAGTTAGGTTTTTTTTATACAAACGCGGAAGTCCCTCTGGGCAAAAAACGAATAGGATTATTTTGGTTAGGTCTGGTTTTTTTTTATACAAACGCGGAAGTTCCTCTGGGCAGAAACCAATTGGATTATTTAGGTTAAGTTAGGTTTTTTTTTATACAAATGCGGAAGTTCCTCTGGGTAAAAATGAATTGGATAGATATAGGTTAAGTTAGGTTTTTTTTATAAAAACGCGGAAATCTTTCTGGGCAAAAACGAATTGGATCGATATAGGTAGATATTGGAGTCCGCGTGTGCACTTAACGTCAAAATAATAGGGGTTAAAGTATGAAATTGCCGATTTGTACTGAAAATCTAAATTGTTTATTTTTTAAATTTTTAACAAATTTATTTAATCAAAATAGTTGCCATTATTATCTATACATTGCTGCCATCTAATGGGAAGGTTATTAATGCCTTTGCGATAGAACTCCGACGATCTAGACTGCACAAACTGTGTGAAAGCATTTTGTACTGCCTCCTGGGAAGAAAACTTCTTGTCACGTAGATAATTGTCCAAATCACGAAAAAAATGGTAGTCCGTTGGAGCAAGGTCTGGTGAATACGGAGGATGACGAATGGTTTCTAACTGCAGTTCCTGAAGGGTCAAAATGGTTTCTCGTGCTGTGTGAGGTCTCGCGTTGTCGTGGAGCAATAATGGTGAAGATCGATTCATGAGTCGGGGCTGTTTTACTGCTAGTTTTGTCAACATGGTTCGGAGTTCGGCACAATAGACATCTGCCGTTATTGCTTGACCAGATCGGAGAAAACTATAGTGAATAACACCATGATGAGACCACCAAACAGTTACCATTACCTTTTTATTAGTAAGTTTTGCTTTAGGACACTGTTGTGGCATTTGACCTGGGGTCAGCCATTGCATTTTTCTTTTCCGGTTATCATAAAGAATCCACTTTTCATCACATGTTACAATTCGATCCAATATTCCTTCATTTCTGTACCGGTTCAACAAGGCAACACAAGTTTCAACACGCGTTTCTTTCTGCAGATCAGTCAAATCATGAGGCACCCATTTTTCGTATTTTTTTATTTTATTGATTTGACGCAAGTGAGTCAATATTGTGGGTAAGGTAACGTTAAACCATGCCGCTAATTCCTGGGTAGTTTGACTAGGATCGGCTTCCACTATATCTCTTAATTCATCGTTATTCACCTGTGTGGGCGGTCTTCCTCGTGGCTCGTTCTTTAAGTCGAAATTTCCATCACGAAAGCGTTTAAACCAAAATCGCACGGTGCGTTCATTAGTAGACCCCTCTCCAAACGCAGCATTGATATTGCGGGCTGTTTCTGCCGCGTTAGTTCCGCGTCGGAACTCGTATTCAAAAATCACTCGAATTTTCGCAGTATCCATCTTTCTTGTCTAAATTGAATAACAAAAACTATTGAAAGTCGATATTCAAATGTTTCAAATTAAAAAAAAAAAAAATCACAGAAACCATTTGAAAAAAGTTTCATTCGAAAACCTCAAACCATGAAGATTCTATGAAAATTCAAAGAACCTATTGCAATAAAACGGCAATTTCATACTTTAACCCCTAATATATGATTTTAAGGTTATTTTTCACAATTTTTTTTCTCGAAAACTATTAATATTCTTAGTTTCAAACTTCGTTTTCCCCTCGCCTACCCCTCATTTCCACATTTTTTACTTTTTTCTCTGTGCATTTGGTGCGAAAATACATAATTTTGGAGCCATTTTTTCCGAATTTTCAAAAATTAATATCTCGAAAACTATCAACGTCCTAACTTTGAAATTTTGCAGGGGGGTCTCCTCCCCCGCCCCATCTCCTCAACCCCCCTATGACGTTACGTTTACTAAAGTCCTTCCAGATGCCGAGAATTTTGGGTCTCCGAACCCTGTACAAGATATAAAATCCATGTCACCGGACCACATGGTGGTTGACCTCTGGATTCTTTCCTTCGCGAGATGTTTCTTTATTTATTTCAGTGTACTGTGTCTGTATTGTTGCAGGGTTTTTTTTCCTTGTACCTTTTAATTTCGAGTTTTGCCATCAACTAAACGGCTGAGACATAAGTGGCGTAACTTCTGTTCAGCTGTGAACGACCACGTGTCATGTGCTCCACGGGTGGTCGGCATTCACACGTATTTGCGTTGCTCCTGTAGAAACTCCACTTTCTTCGCGGTGAACCTGGTATGTAATGTAAAAGTACATTCAGTAACCTCCAGGTAAGTGATGTATAAGTGATATCTCCGTGTGCCACTCATGTACTTTCAAAAACTCTTAGTGCAGTGAATTAGCTCTAAGTATACTTAAAATTAACCTTTTACATGTGTAACTGATAAAAGCAAAAAGCATATTTGTAAACTCGTCACGTAAACTCGGGGAAATAAAATATTGGTTCTTCATAATGTACCCTTATATTTAACCAGAACGTATGTAACGTGTTACAGCTTTAAATTTAAAATAAAGCATTTGGTTATTTCTACTTGAAACTTGTTTTCGTTGTGTGTAAGGCGGCCTTCCTTCCTTGCTTAAAAATTTTACACTCAGCATCGGCTCAACCAGTCTCATGCTCACTCAAACCGACTGGAGCTGTCCATTACACAAGAGTATGTATTAATAACAGAGTAGTTAATTTCAGTTCATCAAAACTTCCTCTTTTTTTTGTTGTTTTGGCTTCTGTCCCACTGAGGACAATTCTGCCAGTGTCCGGGTTGAAAAATGCACGGTTTATATCAAGATTGCCAGGAACGCACTCAAGCTACGATGATCGGTTCTATCATCCTATGGACAAAGACAAAACACGACGTTATTTGACTAACTACTTTGTAAGCAAAACATAAAAACATGCTGGGCACATAATAAATGTTATAGACGTATGTTATTTTGTTCAATATATTTAAATAGAATAAATAGTAGAGGTGGTTTAAAGGGAGAAAGAATACTGTAAAAATTTGTGGGTCGAGGGATAGAATCTAGAAGAAGATCGTATAAACGGAGACGGGATACAATGAATAGTTAAAAATATATTATATAAGGTCAAGAGTTCCTTCCTCAAGACCGCACTCACAAAGGGAGTGATCCCTTATCCTGAGCTTAGCAAGAAAAGTGGGTCTGCAGTTATGGCCTAGGCGCCATCGCATAATAGTGGAAGTAGTTCTTTTACTGGCTTCATGGAATTAAAAAAAACCAATGATAGTTGGGTATTACTGGTTGAAGACCAGCATAGTATTTGCCTTTTTTACTGCTTGAAGACGACCAGTAAGCGTTCCAGTTATTGAGTAAATCAACCTTAGCCTGAAAGCGTAAATCTTGAGAAAAACATTTATCATATATAACGGTACCAGAATGAATCGCCCATTTAGCCCAACTATCCGCTTGTTCATTCCCAGGAATGCCAGCGTGTTCAGGAATCCAAACAAGAACAATTTGAATGCCAAGATTAGAGCATTTGTAATAATCTCTTATCTTTTAAGATTGATTGGATGAACATCTTTGCTACGAAAGGGGAACTTTAACAGATCGTCAAGGCAGCTACGAGAAACTGTAAAATTTACAGATTTGTCTACTTTGTGAGATTCAACATATGAGACTGCCTCAAAAACAGCGATTACCTCACCAGAATATATAGACGCTTTAGAAGGGGATTTAAAAGTTAAGGACAAAACTTCCTTCCAATTAAATTCGTTTTGTCTAGAGTTCTCTGGTATATGTATGTTGTTTATCGATTTAAGTAATAAATTTTTATGACTAAGTCAAAGTCAAAGTCAAAGATTATTTATTCCATAGGTAAAATAAATTTACACTTGAAAACGTCACATTTAAGCTACTGCTCGTTCACTACGCTGACCTCCCTGAGAAGAACGAGCAAGAAACTCTAGGGATTGCTCTTTTCAAATAAACTTAAATGCTATGGAATACACTTTGAATCAAATTTGTGTGGATTCTGGAGCCATGTCGTCTTTCCATACATCTTTATCTAACTGCACTGGCTATCAGTAACCAAATAACATTTTTAATTTTTTTTGTTACTTTCGTTTCACAGACTGTTTACTTTACTCTATTTTGTTTCTAATTAAGAAATTATTAAGCATAAAGAATTAAATAATTAAATAAAAGTATTTATTGTATTTATTGATGTTTAATATAAGTTGCATATTGTTTACTTTAATAAAATTGTTGTATATAGATCTTCTCAACCAAATAATGACAAAACTCCAGCCTCCCTCAATGTTTGTTCGTATTCGTCAAATCTGCTGTGCAACTGCAAACTTGGATTTTCCCAGTCCTTCTCAGTTTTATCGTACCAGAAGTATTTTCCTTTTACTGATTGGTCAACATCAAGAGCTAAATAAACAGGAGCCTTTCCTGATTCTTCCAAAGGTATATATCCAACGTTTTTATTCATTTCTGTTTGAACGTACCCAGGGTTTAGTGAATTGATGGAGATTCCTCGGTTAATTTCATTTTGTTGCGCTCTTGTCAACGCAGTGACAGCTACTTTTGAAATTCTGTAAGCAAGCATTTCCATTTCTTCGAAATCTTCTTTCTTCACAGTCCCATTTTTAACTGAATCCAGGAACCAATCAACGAAAGCGTTCACGTCTGCTGCTTTGATATCCTTCTTGGTGAGGCGTTGGACCCAATAAGGATTTTTAATGTGAGAAATAAAACCGCAATCGCTTGAAACATTCACCACTCTAGCGTTATCTTTTAGAATAGGAAATAGGAATTCTTGAATTATAAATAAACTTCTATAATTTACGTCAATCACGTGGTTAGCGTCTTCGTAAGTTGTTTTATATAAATCTTTAACGAGAATTCCAGCGTTGTTGATTAAAATATCTAATCCTCCATGCTTTTCTTTCAGGTGATTAGCGAAAACTTTAACGCTATTTCTATCAGTCACGTCTAGTTGATGAAACAGTGGATTCAGACCTTCTTTTCTAAGTTTTTCTACAGCTTCCTTACCTCTTGTTACATCTCTTGCTGTTAAGTACACAGTTCCAACTCCTCTTTGACACAACTCTCGTACAGTGGCAAATCCTATGCCCTTGTTTGAGCCGGTAACCACAGCTACTTTGTCAGACATGTTTCTGGGTCGACAGCTTACAATAAACTAGATGTAATACTATGCGGCTTTTATATGTATATAGAACATCAGGTGATCGGGCTGTTTGTTTGGCTGTGGATAAACTTGTAGCTGATAACATTATTTTGTTGCCCTAAAGATAACACAGTAAGACGTAATACGTTTCGATAGAGATGCTTGAAAATTTACTAAGGGCTATAGCCAAAGCAGATATCTTTAAAGTGTTATCACGTCTATTTGACTGTTCGTCCAATCGTTATATTTTACAGTTTTCTTAAGATGATCTCGGTGGCCTAGTGTATATGGGCACAAAGTGAGGAGGTCCCGGGTTCGATTTCCGGAAGGACCAATTTGATTAATGAACTTTCCTAAATTAGTTATTGTCTGAGTGTTTTGGGTAGTAACAAGGAGTTAATTTTGTTGTTCTGGCACTCACAGTTCAGGGAATGCCTAGCTTGAAACCATGTAATTGATCTAATTTGCATTTTGGTAGCTTTCGAGATATTGGCACATGAAGTTTTAGACATCCGAGCTTTAGCGATGCTGTCCATTGCTCCGAGAGTCGCGAGTCTAAAAGTCGTGGTGAAAACTTTACTTTTCATTTCTGTTACGAGAAAAGAAATATTTCAATTCGCTCTGCAACAAAATTACGAACCCAAATTCTGAAGTTTTCGCGGTATTTTGTTTCCAACCAGGGGGTCTACTCTCGATCTCCGTCTGACATCCGTCCGAAACAATTACTGCCAAATAAGTAATTTTGGACAAAATAAAAAGACAAGTGTTAAGTATGAAGCTTCATTCGCATCACGCGTCTTTTCATTTGGTCAAGTATTGCTTATTTGGCAGTTATTGTTTCGGACGGATGTCAGACGGAGATCGATAGTAGATCCCAGACGCAGATGCAACAAACGCACTAACTCGGGAAAGTACCATGGCGCCACCGTCTATGCGGAAAGGGAACTAAAACCGAGCGTACGACTGGCTTTATAAGTTTCTTCACTAGAAGTAAATTAAAATATTAGGTACTTTTTAATCCGTAAGAATTAAACGATGCACGTAACTCCCGCTACGTAAGGCTATATTTAGACAATGAGAAGAAGAAATTAAAAAAGAAGTGAAAAACTGTTTATTGGGTGTTGTAGATGCCGTTTCTGATTCCAGATATTTTAATAACTGGATTTCGCTAAATATCGATGACGTTGTTTATACTGCAGTATTATTATTTCATTGTTACCATAAAAGTTGGAATTTAAAAACAAAAATGGAAAACATTTTTTAAACCATCTCTCAAGAAGAAATTAATTTTATATGTGTTTTAATATAACAAATTGTGCATATAGAACATGTTTTCAATTAACCTACGATGTAGGATACATTGCACTGTTACTAGTAATTTTCAATTAAACAGTTTTTTGTCCGTCCAGAAAAGTAGTCTAAAAAAGTTATGCTTTTTCCATAGGGGGTTGCGATACGTTGACAAAGTAGTTTTTAGGACATAAGCACTGTTTTACGTTGCTATAAGATAAAATAATTTTCAACTTACTAAGTACCAACACATTAATTAACATAAGTAGCAAAATAATTGTTTTTTAATAGCACTTTTATAAGTCCCACACAAAAGAATTTGTGAATGTGATAAAGACGAATTATGTAACTACTACAAAATTACTTCATACTGTTATATTACTGTTTAGATTGAATACAATTAGTACTTTATTGCATCTATTTGCCTTGTCTACATAACTCAATGGTAAATGTGGAATAAAAAAATGGCGTGATGTGGGTTTTATCTTGTTTAAGGCAAACAAGCCATCACGCCATTTTTTATTCTACCAAATTACTTTAACTATAATTAAAATTATTAAAAATTCATTTATTTATATAATTAAGCGTGGGCAGGTCATTCATATGGTGGATTGACGATTTGGTGATGTCATCCGCTGGATGTTGGTAAAACTATTGGATATTTAAATTATATCACGATAACTGTCACAATTCTGTATTTCTGCCACGAGCTTTTTTATATAATATCAATTGACGGGTCGAACAAGTCGTGCGCGTGATGGTAAACTACACGCCTGTCCATAACAGTTGCAGTGCCACTCAAAACTTTACCGTGCCACTGCGTTCATCACCCTGTGACGTAAGTTGACGTCTCATGTGCCTGTAACTTCACCAGCACCCCTTCAGAACTGGAACACAGCAATGCTGACATTACTGTTTGGCGGGAGAGATAGGTAAGGTGGCAGTAGTTCCCGACGAACTCTTTCGCAAGGAGCTCTACTGCTGCTAATTTTCATTTTTTGCCTACACGTTAAAGTCGCTAGCCACAACGTACAATATTTATTTACAAAGTTTAGTTCTTTGTAGCCGCTAGGGGTATCGTACAAAATACAATAAAAATTGTAAAGTCATTGTAGAATTACAGATATTTTTACGATATCAAGTTAAGCCGCGAACCAGTGCGCTTGGTGCTAAGCGACACGTGTACCCATACAAGTTGTAATGTCACTTAGACCATTAAATTACAAAGATCTTAGAGGCACTGCCACTGCGCCCCTCATCCTGAGCCGTAAAGTTGACAAGTCTCATGTGCCTGCAATTTCACCAGCACCCTTACCCTTCAAAGCCGGAACGCTGTAATGTTCACGTTACTACTTGGCGGTAGAAATATTCTATTGCTGATGAAATTGTATGATATATGTCTCTTATTATAAAAACAACCCTACATCTGAAATGTAAGCCTGGTTACGCTGCTAATTGTTAATATTGCGATATAATTTTGTACAAATAGTTGAGTATATTAATGATGCAATTTTGAGAACGCATTAGTCAGGCGTTCGAACTGACCGCATCGCGGTCAGGACGTATGGCACGACACGGCGCCAGCGCCATCTGTTGCAGTGTTTCATAATTAACTAGCTAAACGTATAGAATAACATCCATGAACTTTTCATTTCGTATTTCAAACCGGATATGTGAAGGTCGTGTGCTCACGGCTTTACCCGTGTCACGATAGTACAACTCTGTGTAAACAAATCGATTCCATTTATTATCACGCTAAGTATTTAAAGTGACAAATCCGTTCGCTGAGCGCTTTATCAAAATTGACTATAAACAGCTAGTCTTCGGTTGACGGGCAGTATAGTTCTGATATCGTGAGGAAAACATGGCTAATAAAGTCGCTGCGGTCACCGGCTCCAACAAAGGCATAGGTTATGCCACCGTTGCAGAGCTCTGCAGGCGAGGTGTTACAACAGTTTACTTGTGTTCAAGAGATGTTGGCCGAGGAAAAGCAGCTGTTGAGAATTTAAAGAAAGAAGGTTTTAACCCACTATTTCACCAACTTGATATCACTGATAAAGGCAGTGTCAGGGCTTTTGCTGCTCATTTAAAAGGAAAACATGGTGGCTTGGATATTTTAATAAACAACGCTGCAGAAATCACAACAGAATTCATAAAAACAACTTACAACGACGCGAGAAAAGTGATTGATACTAACTATAATAGTGCTTTCATTATTCAAGAATATTTGTATCCTATACTGAAGGATAATGCTAGAGTTATAAATATTTCGAGTGATTGTGGTCATATTTCGAATTTGAACAACAAATACTGGATTGAGAGGCTGACAAAGAATGATGTGAAAGTAGAAGACGTTAATGCGTTCGTCGACTGGTTCTTGGATTCAGTAAGAAATGAAACACTAAAGGTGGAAGATTTTAAGGAGCCTTTCTTTCTCCCATACCGTATCTCTAAAATTGCATTATGTGCGTTAACGAGGATTCAACAAAGAGAGATTGGACGTGGTATATCTATAAACTCGTTGCATCCGGGATTTGTGCAGACAGATATGACAAAGACGGTTGTTCCTGAGTACTTGGTTGAACTAATGAAGCAGAATCCTAAATTGACTGAGCATCTTGGAAGAGTTCCTCTAGAGAAGTCGGGAGAGGCCCCTGCGTATTTGGCTTTGGACGTTGATCAATCCGTGAAAGGAAGGTATTTTTGGCACGATAAAACGGAGAAAGATTGGGCTGATCCAAATTTGGACGTATTGGCAAAAAGTGAAGATTTCAAAAAAGTGATGAAGAATTCAGGTATAGAAATACCCAATCTGCAACCAATATATTAACATTTACGTCTCATAATCCAGTGTAAGGACAATAAGTTATTAGCTTCATTTTAGGTCTCTGAGTAATCGTTTTAAACATAATAGTACAAGACAGGTATAATACAAGATGTTTACCGTCAATATAAAAAAAATTTGTTACAATACGTTAATTCAAGAAAACACTATTTTAAACTTTAAGTGAATAAATATCAAGTTTTATAAGGGTAATAAATTAATTGTAACAAAGCGTATTTTAATTTATCAAGTCTCGAATGGGTTAAAGTGCTTACTTTAAAATTCCATATAAGAATAAAATTTGTTCCCGAGCGCCTGGAATGCCTCTCACTGAGGAAGCTCGGCGTTACATCTCGAAAAATAACTTAAAAATCATAAATTCTCTTTGAATTCCCATGCCAGGGTAAAATATGAGCGTTCCTATGAATACGAGTAACGAGAAACGAGATTTGGGATTTTTATGTTAAATTGCACTAAACCTTACAAGATGGTCCCGCAGAAGAGGCAAGTATGTATATTATATATTATATAACAGCTACAAAGTCATAATATACAATGAAAGTACCTACATCATTAATGCGCTTCATAAACACACGGATGTTATTATCTTGCCTAGATAACACTTTGACCGCTGTTAGAGTAAAAAGTTTCATTAACTATAGTTACCTACCTATTTAGTTAATTATTGTTGTTGATTAGATATTGCTTAATCTTATTAATATATACCCTTATTTTTGTTATTTTTACAATTGACGATTGCGTCTGTTACGCAATTTCTGCAAAAATCTGCAAGTTGCATGACGGGAGCAGTTAAGCTTTCTTTTGTATCTTCCTTAGTTTTGTAATGCACATAATTGAAAGTATCCATACTATATCTATTACTGCCTGAATTAAAGTTAAATAGTTCTAGATTTTTTTTTATAATATCAAATGACAAATATATTGCAAATGGTATGTAACGTAAATCAAAATATGTCCTTTAGTACATTTGAAATAAGTTACTTAAACAGATATTTTTTGTAACTACAAGTATACTTCAAAATACGGTTGTTTGTATTAATGTTAGACATAACTGGTTGATGACTGACACCATCTCAGTCAGCCATGACCATGAGACCATGTGATCAAGAACCCGAAACGTTAATTTGTTTGTTGTTTAAGTCTGAAATAAAATTTTCATATCCAATGAGTAGTAATTCCAAAAACCTAAGAACCTGACATTGTCCTACAAGGGTCTCCCAACAAACATTTTGGCCCTCCGGGAAACTTTTATAGCGCTCATAGTGTTTATCATTAACGATACACAGGACCTTCGACAATAATGTTCTGTTGTGGTTATACGGATAAATAATTAAACTTTCCAGAGAAGAAATAGTAAAATCGAAAAACATATTGCTTAAGACGGTTGTATGTAGTTGATCGGAACTGTTGTACGACTTACTCTTATAGGTTTAAGAAGTTAAAACACTAAAAGCAAGTCTACGGTTTCCACTAACATTTGAAGGCTGACGTTCTTAAAAAGAGTTTTTAAATACTAGCAAGGTCTATCGAACCCTAAGAGTTAATAAGAAAGTTTCCAGTGTCTTAGTAGTCTTAATTTTTGTTGTCAAGTTTGTAATTTTAAGTAATTTACGCTTTAAAATCGTGGATCCAAATCAAAGTTATATGAAAATAGCGCGGTATATCACCAATTGTAAGTTTTTTTTATAATATCAAGTGTTGGGACGTACAAGTCGTGCGCTTGGTAGTAAGCTATATGCCTGTCTATAACAGTTGCACTGCCACTCAGAGCTTTGAAACGCAAAGATCTGAGGGGCTCTGCCACTGCGCTCGTCCAGACATAAGTTGACAAGTCTCATGTGCTTGTAATTTCACCAATACCTCTTACCGAAGGGTAAGAAAAATCGGAACACAGTAATGCTGACATTACTGCTTGGCGGCAGAAACAGGTATGGTGGCAGTATACTCTGGACGAACTCTTGCACAAGGAGCTCTACTGCTATTAAAGTGCCTTTAGGTTCTTTCATAGGTGTCTTTATAGAAATTTAGGTCCTTAAAATTCTCTTATACAGCTAATGTAGCACTTATTCATAAGATCAAAATGTTAGTTGGGCTATATATACTGTGTCCATTTTTAAGATGTAGACATACTTTTACACAAATTAATAAACTCGAAGTAGATATTACAAATACGCACAGAAGTTAATTTCGATCGAAAAATCTTGTTTTATCTTTACTGGAACATTACATTTTGCTGCTAAGTTTCTCCAAACGCGCGGCAAAACTTCCGTGGGGTCCGTCGAACGCTCGATTAAACTTCTCTCCGAAGCTTTGATGTTCTTAGAATTTCGCAATAAGGGAGTGTCGTTTATCTTTCTTATTCAAATAAAGTCGTGAATAGGTAAATTATTTCCATCATATTGAGTGTATGACGTAAATATTTAGAGCGCCACACGTGACTTTTAATAAAAAACAGTCTTAATAAAAAACATGTGAATAAACAAGATCTTCAGTACATTATAACGAAACCACTAGACAATACCGCATTTTTTGTACGAAGGCAATTTCCTTTTTCTAAAGAGCGAAGTACAGAAACTTGTAAAATTATACCTTTTTCTTTATATAGACATGTTTTTTGAACACTGAAAAAAGTAAATGGACTTTTTGCACTTTGTTGAATTATAGTACCATTTTCATTAAATAAGTTTTGTGATTATTTTATCGTTATGTTAATTTGAATGTTTCGTAAAAAAAAACTTGTGGAATTACATCTATTTGCTAAGTTTTATTTCAGCCGGTTAACGAAAAGTGAGTGGAATCCAATAAACCTGATTAATCCCCTTTGCCACCATTAGAGGTAGAATATTTTTTTCAAATTTGAATGGGACTACTATAATCTAGCGAATTCCCACAATGGCCTGGTAAAGATTGTTCTTTACCAGATCATTTTGTGGGTGGTCTGCCCACTTTGCGTCACCCGGTATGCGGTCGCTACTCGAGAACTCCTTGGCCCCATCGACTATCTGTTCAGCGTGTAAGAAACATGTCCACAGTCACTTAAGTTTTGCAATATTAAGCTATGTCGGCTATAAAAATTGCTTTGACCAAATCAAAAGCAAACTGAGACCATATCGTATAAAAAGGTCTAAAAATGTTTTGTTCAAATTTAAATGGGACCAATACTGAGATACCCTCTTTCTAAGAAAAAAAGAATCATCAAAATCGGTTTACACTTACCTTTTATCTAAAAAAAAGAATCATCGAAATCACAAATATCGGAGTTATAGCGTAATATACACATAAAAAAAAACAGCCGAATTAAAAACTTCCTCCTTTTTTATATAAAATAAATTCAAACGATCCTTTTTTGTATTATGATTTGAAGGCTGAAATAACATTATTCAATCCATGGCCTCGACGATATGACAGAATTAGCGAGTTTATGATTATGATGCATGATGTGCGTTATCAATGTCCCAGTGCAGCCATAAAGCAGAAAGCATTTATAGGTATTTTCTTTATTTATTTAGTACATACGGTCATAGTGACAATAAAAACAAATATTACAGTCGAGTACTGGAAATACATATCTATTTATTTAGAAACAAAGATATTTTAATTTTTTATTGAATTAACATTCAATTATTTTTTGTGATATTACCCGGATTCGAACCGACGTCTTCTAGCATATCACAAGGCAAACGACAACATACCAAAAGACAACAAGCGCATAGAAAAATTCGTGAGGTCTGGCACGGTATGCTAGAAGACGTCGGTTCGAATCCGGCCGGATCGAAGGAATTTTTTCTGAGTGTTCGATCTTTGTATTAATAATTATAACTAACTAGTGGAGTAATTTCAGAAAAAATAATTGAATATCAATTCAATAAAAATTTAAATTACCGTGAATAGCGACATCTCTCGCCAGGGCCGGTAGCTGTAAAGGTATTTAACTGGGTGATAAAACTTTCATAGATTTCTCATAGATGGCGCTAACGGCGACTAAAAAGTCGTTGAAAAAACCAAATACAAAGACACGACAACAAGCGCATAGAAAAATTCGTGAGGTCCGCTGGTCCGTTCCGTGGCTTAGTTGGTATAGCGTCTGGCACGGTATGCTAGAAGACGTCGGTTCGAATCCAGCCGGATCGAAGGAATTTTTTCTGAGTGTTCGGTCTTTGTATTAATAATTATAAGAAAGATATTTATTAATAACAAAATAAATTAAAAAAGGTAATTAGTAGAGTTAAGTATGTTGCTCCATCGTCCTCCTCATTGTCAGTTTCCATCAGATGAGATGGAAGTCATTTGACTTACTTACTTTTAAACTAAAAAAAAGAAAAAGTTGCAGAAATGACGGTTGAAATAAATCTCGAAAATTGATTCATAAAATCGTGGAAGGCAACCGGTGACAACTAAAGAATAAATTCATCATTATAATTTCAGGTGAAAGACGTCCACCACTGGACTTAGGTATTTGTACCTGTATCTGTATTTATCTGTATTTGTATTTATTTATTGCCATTTATACCCAAAGATCGCCATAACAACCGGTTCTGCGCTGCTTCCATCCAGCGCACAGGTTCTCAAACTTTTTGGCTTACCACCCACTTAGGCAAGATAAAAAAATTTCAAAACCCACTACCAGAAAAAATAATAAAAAATGCGTATTTTTTATATTAACTTAACACAAAATATCACTAGAAAAAAAAATTTTGTGTAGTCTATGCAGATAATTTAGGTTTCATCATAATATCAATGCTTCCCAAAATTACTTCCAAGGCACCTACCGCCTGTGGGAAACTATAATCTAGCGAATTCCCAGAATGGCCTGGTAAAGATTGTTCATTACTAGATCATTTTGTGGGTGGTCTGCCCACTTTGCGTCACCCGGTATGCGGTCGCTACTCGAGAACTCTTTGGCCCCATCGACTATCTGTTCAGCGTGTAAGAAACATGCCCGTCCACAGTGACTTAAGTTTTGCAATATTAAGCTATGGCGGCTATAAAAATTGCTTTGACCAAATCAAAAGAAAACTGAGACCATATCGTATAAAAAGGTCTAAAAATGTTTTGTTCAAATTTAAATGGGACCAATACTGAGATACCCTCTTTCTAAGAAAAAAAGAATCATCAAAATCGGTTTACAAATCGCGTAACATACATACACACAAAAAATACAGTCGCATTGATAAGTTCCTTTTTTCAAGTCGGTTGAAAAAGCTTCGCAAGGGAACGATCGGCGTTTACTACATCGAAAGAGGTCTTATTCAAGAGAGTACTAAGGTACTGTGGGGTCGTGACGTTAGATTATGACGTCATAAATATTTGAAATGTCAATGCATAATACAGTTATAGAGTGTGTCAGAAAACGATATATGTATAGGCAAATGTAATTGGAATTTAAATCTGTCGAATTGATTTGCAGTTGCAGCTACTTGCCCTAAGCAGAAGGTGTATTAGAGGATGATCTGCGAACAATACAGACAGTATCGCGAAGTAGCTCGATAGGAGGCAGCTTACGTGGCTAGGAGTTTCTCACAAGAGAAATTTCTTAAACGTAAAGAGGTTTGTTTCACTTTATTCCACAATAAAGTCGGACAAAATTTTAAAATTAATAAAGGAGATGAGTGAAGAAAAAAATTCATAGATTCCTCACAGGTCAAAAATAAAGATGTGCAACAAGCACATAGAAAAATTCGTAAGGTAGCTCAGTTGGGAGAGCGTCAAGCCCTGGTTCGAAGGATTTTTTCTTAGTGTTTGCTTTTTATAATAATGATAATTAAATAAAGAAATTTTAGTAGTACAAAGGTCCTTGTAAAAGAGTCGAAGGACATACTGCCACCGTATATCTATGTTTGCTAAGCAATGTGAGCATTATTAGGTTCCAGTTTTGAAGGGTAATAAGGGTGCTGGTAAACTAAAAGCGTATCGGACTTGTCAATTGTCAACTTTATATCCCAGGGTGTCGAGTGCTGTGGTAGTATCCTTTAAATCTTATTGATTTCAAACTCTAAGTAACACTGCAACTTTTATAGATGGACGTGTCGCTAACCATCAGATACACGATTTGTTCGACCCATACGTTGATATTATAAAAAAGCACTAAATATAAATTACTTGCAAAAAAC